TTATGGTAGGGTACAAAACCACCTCAAAGTTATTCTTTCCAATCAATCCATTGGGCTATTCCTATAAGTGTCACAAACAGCCCTAGAGTTCGTACTAGAATAACACCTTAAGACACAAATCAACCAAAACCCTAATCTCACCTAGATACTCCAATGTCACCTCAAGTATCTGTGAGTATGATTATACGATATGCATCACACAATCTCAGATTCATCTATTCAAACCAACACAAAGTACTTCAAAGAGTGCCCCAAAGTTTCTACCGGAGAGTCAAGACGAAAACGTGTGCCAACCCCTATGCATAGGTTCATGGGCGGAACCCGCAAGTTGATCACCAAAACATACATCAAGTGAATCAATAGAATAATCCATTGTCACCACGGTTATCCCATGCAAGACATACATCAAGTTTTCTCAAATCCTTAAAGACTCAATCTGATAAGATAAATTCAAAGGGAAAACTCAATCCATTACAAGGGGGTAGAGGGGGAGAAACATCATAAGATCCAACTATAATAGCAAAGCTCGCGATACATCAAGATCGTACAACCTCAAGAACACGAGAGAGAGAGAGAAAGAGATCAAACACATAGCTACTGGTACATACCCTCAGCACTCCCTCCTCGTCATGGAGAGCACCGGGATGATGAAGATGGCCACGGAGAGGGATTTCCCCTCCGGCAGGGTGCCGGAACGGGTCTAGATTGGTTTTCGGTGGCTACGAAGGCTTCTGGCGACGGAACTCCGGATCTATTGTGCTCCCCGATAGTTTTAGGGTATATAGATATGTATAGGCGGAAGAAATACATCAGGGGAGCCACGAGGGGCCCACGAGGGTGGAGGGCGCGCCCAGCGGGGTGGGCGCGCCCCCTGCCTCGTGGCTTCCTCGTTGATCCCCTGACGTGCACTCCAAGTCTCATGTATTGCTTTCTTTTTAAAAATAACTTTTCCGAAGGTTTCATTCCGTTTGAACTCCGTTTGATTTTCCTTTCCTACGATACTCTAAAATAAGGAAGAAAAACATAAACTGGCACTGGGCTCTGGGTTAATAGATTAGTCCCAAAAATAATATAAAAGTGTCTAATAAAGCCCATAACCATCCAAAACAGATAATATAGTAGCATGAAACAATCAAAAATTATAGATACGTTGGAGACGTATCACCCACCAATAGCATAGTACACACACATAATCAAAATAGTGAAGAGATATGTACTCACATAGTCACTCTCCACGGTTCCACTAGGTGGTGCATCCCTCACTTGGTCCATGGCCGCACTCCAATGAGCACAAGCGGGCTTCATCAACTCCCACCGGTCTTGAAGCGACCGGTAAGTGCGAGAGATGAACCCACTATTCTTCGGCTTGATCCTACAATAGTTGTCCTCGATCCTTTGCCAATACCGTTTACCGGTTTGATCGGTGCCGGTGCTTGCATCCATCCCCACAGCTTCCCAAGCACGAACCAAGAGGATATCTTCCGCCTCGGTGTAGTTTGTCGACCGCGCGTGTGGGCGGGAAGCGGCGGTGAATGCCTCCTCCCCTATCTCGGCCACCTCCTCCTCGTCATCCCCTTCATCCTCCTCATCTTCCTCCAAGTCGTCACCAACCCTAAAGGGTTCTAGAGGCGGAGCCCCGAGGTCCACCTCCGCGTCTTGGAGGAGGTCCATGAACGAGGATGGGGTTGCCATTTCCTCGAACACCTCGTGCGCGGCAGGAGGAGGTTCGGCGACGGCGGCGGGCGGGGCCGCGGGCTTCTTCCGCGGATTCTTCACGGCCGGGGACGAGCCGGCGACCTTGGAGGAAGCCCCTCGCGGCCCACGGGAGGCCGCCTTCGGCTGGCTCTTCTTGGGGGCAGGCGCCGGGGCGGGGACGGGGGTCGGGGCGAGAGCCAGGGAGGCGGGAGGAGGCGGTGCGAGGCCCGCCCGCTGCCGCTTGGCCCCGACGTGGGTCGCCGCCACCACGTCGGCCATGGTCGGGTGCCGGGCGGGGGCGGGACGGGCGTGGCGGCGGCGGAGGCCTCCATGGCCAGCGCGGGGCGAGGCGGCAGGAGGAGCCGGGGAGGCGAGGTTCTAGTCTACGGCTTTTTTTCGACAAAAACTGTAAAAAACAGTTATTTTTAGGGGTTTGAGGGTTTCATGGCTCTACTAGACTTGCTCTTATGGGAGTGTCTTTACCTCCAGTGCCATATCTTGCTTACTGCGAGACTGTAGTACTTGGAAGCGGGTCTCTGTGTTTTTCTGTGTTTCCTTTGTCGGTTTTATTTGATTTTTACTCCCTTCATTTTATAATGTAAGACTTTTTTGACACTAATGTAAGATTTTTTTGACAGTACATATTTTGTACTGTCAAAAAATATACAAGACAAAGAAATACATATTTACTCGCGTAAAGGCCCTACAAAGGAGTAATCACTGAGTTCCTTTGTAATAAAATCTTATACTATGGTACGGAGGAAGTACTATCATATTTATGCAACGTTGAAACGCATATGGGAAATTATCTTATTCGGAAAATGGAACACAGCCAGTTTGCACCGTCGCTTCTCCTCCCAAGGAAGGCAATTATCTAATTCTGAAGCATACGGTCTCGAGTGGTAATATTACTCCTTTGAAAATCTGTTGAAGAGCTCCGGGCATATCACATCTTTTGTTTGGGGATGACATAATGTAATTTTTTGAAGTGTCACATGACCAAGGTGTGAACGTTAAAGAAGTTCTCACTTTACATGAGGCAGCCACAGAGCGGTCCTTGAACTTTAAAAATGTACTCTTTTGTTTGGTGAGTCTTGCCTTATGGTGACTCGTGAGCAGGTTCGCTTGGTGCTGAATGTCACAAGCTTGGTGTTTGAGGAGAAATATCTTGGTTTTTCTAAACCGGATGGTCGCATGTCCAGAGGCCGTTTCAATATCTTCAAACTAGTCTAACTAAGAGACTTATACGGTGGGGAGATGGCCGCCTTGCGCAGTCGGGAAGGGAAGTGTTAATAAAACCAGTCACCCAAGCACTACCAACTTATTTGATGAGTGTTTTAAAACTGTCTTTCTCCATTTGTGATGAGCTTAATGCAATGGTGTGGATTTTATTTATTAGGGTTCAACTAGGGGCCGAAGGAAAGTTCACTGGCATGCGCAGGAGCATTTGCTACGTCCGAAGAACAAAGGTGGTGTTGGTTTCAGGGATTACATGTTATTTAACCAGGCTCTTCTAGCCCGTCAAGCTTGGAGGCTGCTTATCAAGCTAGATAGCCTTTGTGCACAAGTTCTTAAGGCTCACTATTACCCAAATGGCAAGCTTGAGGATACCCTATACGGGTCTGGCACGACAACTAGATACCACGCCCGTTCTCTTACAAGCCAATTTCTTCCCAAGGAAGGTGTCACATACGCTTTGTATCTGAACTGCTCAATGACAATGGTTCATGGAATTTGGAGCTCCTACAGTCGTACTTTCATCCTTGTGACGTTGTTGAAATTATGAAGATCATGGCCTCCCCGAGACTAGAATCTGATACTTTGAAATTGGGTCCGGGCAAGTACGACTTGTTTTCAGTTAAAAGCGCATATGATTTGGCCTTTGATGAGTTTCATACAGCCAACATGACCTCTTCAACTTCGGTCCCAGGGGGTCAGTGCGGCAGCTGGTCCATGATATGGTCTTCAGATGTACCCCCGACAGTGCGTAATTTCTCCTGGAGGATATTGACCGATTCACTCCCCACTTTGGAAGAACAACCACAAGAGGAATTTGGAACTATTAAGTTTCTGTCCTATATGTGCTATGGACCGGAAGACAATTTACATCTGTTTTTTCCATTGTCCTTTAGGCCGAGAATTATGGAGAACAATATCAGAAGTTTGGACATTTGTCGGTTTTGGAAGAGATTGAGAACAACGAGAAAGAGTGGTTATTTCATGTGTTGGATCCACTATCTGATATTGCGCGAAGTTCTTATGACTTTGTGGCCCTGCTGGCATATTCATAAAGAGGTTGTGCATCACAAGCCACCACCTCCGATGGAAGCATCTAAGAGATTTCTTGTTAGCTACTTGGAATCTTTGGTTGGACTGAAACTTGATCTATGTGATGATCCTCGGAAGGGCAAGTCAATAGTGATATATAATGTTGCAGCAAGCAGCAAGCAGCTCACATAGACTGATGACACCTAGCTCCACGTCCTGGACACCTCCAGATCAAGGATGGACTAAACTGAATACAGATGGGTCCTTGTCTCCTGATGGCGCAGCAGGGGCTGGTGTGGTTCTTCGGAATGATTGTGGGAAAAGCATATTCTCCTCATGCAGACAGTTATCCTCTTGTCGTGATGCTTTGTAGGCGGAACTGTATGTGTGTATGGAAGGTTTATCTTTTGCTATCCAACCGAGCGACGCCCCAAATATCATTGAGATGAATTCCATTGTTGTTGTGAAGTTGATCCAAGCTCGTGATCTGGACAGATCGATCTAAGCCTCTGTAGTTAAGGAGATTAAGTACCCGACGTCTCTTCATGGTTGTCGTATTACTCATGTAAGTCGGAACCAAAATAAAGTTAGCGATGATCTAGCAAATTTTGCTAATAACGGAAGGCAGAACCATGACTTGCCTTGGTTCTCGCCCTCCTGTTGCCGTCGAGCTGCTCTGGATGATTGTAACCTTGCTACTCATGAGTAATACAATTTTCTCACCCGCAAAAAAAAGGAAGGGACCAGTACAGAAAAGAAAAAAAATGAGAGATAAATTTCTATGCAGGACACCAACACAAACAAAACTTTTGGCTAGATAAAAGGTGAATTTACACTAGGGTTCAACTACAGCCTTCTTCTCATTACAAAAACCAAACGGTACAACCGCACAAGGTCTACATAGCAGAAAACACAAGAGTTAATCAGCTAGAATTGTACACACAACACGACCATCGATCCAGCGAACTCCCTAAAAAACCGCGTGCTTTACACTACTGGTTAATTAACCCAGACCCAATTAATCAAGAGCTATCGTGTCAGTAGCCACCTCGGCCCACCAACTGGTATCCGCCGACCCCCGTCGCCGGCCGCTGGTTGGCATTGGTCACGTACTGCCGCACGGGGTCCTCCGCCACGGGCACCGCCGGCAGCCCCGCCGCGGTGAGCTGGTACTGCTGCATCACCAGCACGGACACCATCTTGGAGAACTCGGACGACACCAGCAGGTCCCCGATCGGCCCCAGCTCCGGCGACTCCATCCAGTCGGACAGCGCCGACGTGAGCGGCGAGCTCTCCTCGCCGGGGTGCCTGCCGACGATGTACAGCTCGTGCGCGTTGCCCAGGTTCCGGATGGCCGCCATGGTCTCCTCGCTGTTGGCCACCACCTGCTCCACGTACACGATGGCCTCGTTGCCCACGTTGCGCGACCGGAACTCGTTGAGGTACTCCTCGTCCATCTGCCGCTCCGTCTTGGGCACGTCGGGCACGATGGTGATGGCGCGCGAGCCGGACGGCACGGACGACGGCGGCGCCACCGCCGGCTGCGGCGCCGTGTAGCCTGGCGGGATGAAGCGGACGATGGCGAGGCAGACGCCGGGGTTCTCCACCATCCGCCACGCGTAGGCGAGCCCCTCGCGGTCGTCCGGCCCGCCGAAGAAGAGGAGCGCCATGCGGTGCACGCTGGACAGGCGCGCCGCGGGGGCGCTGAGGCCGCGGTCGACGAGGATGCCGACGGAGCAGGGCGCCGAGTTGAGGATGCTCTCGTTGAAGCCCTTGAGGGCGGGGTGGATGGGCTCCATGCCGCCGTCCACCGTCTGCTGCTTGTGGAACGGGAGCACGATGAGCGACACGTGCTTGTCCTCCGCCAGCACCGACACGTCCTCGTGCATCGTCTGGTACGGCGACACCGCCGTCAGCGCCTGGACCGACACGCCGGCTGCTCGTGGAGACGTGGACAATGCATTCATGATTCACGTCAGGTCACACGTCGTTGCATTGCATCGATCGATCTCAAGGCATACGAGGACTACTGACCGACGCTCTCCTCGTAGTTCTCGAAGGCGTTGAAGATGTGCTCGCTGGCGCTGGTGCTGGCGCTGCGGTTCTGGTTGGCGGCGGTGTGGTGGGCGGCGAGCATGTTTGACGCGCGCCCGGTGAGCTCCACTAGGTGGAGCGCGTAGATGAATAGGGGGGAGCGCTTGCTCGGGTTGGAGAGCTCGAGGAGGGAGATGATGGACGGCACGTTGCGGGTGGTGTGCACGCACGCCAGCATGCGCAGCTCCGCGTCGTGCTTCGACCGCTGCAGGTTGCGCCGCTTGTACCCGACCAGCCGCCGCGCCGGACGGTACACCGTGGTCACCACCGGCGTCACCAGCGCCGTCATCGCCACCGACACCAGCACCATCACCGCGAACGACTCATCGTCCAGAACCTGCAACCACAACAACACCGACCCATGTCACGTTCGCCCGCTAGCTAGTTGCAAATTGAAATTGTTCAAATCCGCGCGAGAGATGAAGATGGTCACCTGCTTGTCCCTTCCGATGTTGAGGACGATCATCTCGACGAGCCCCCTGGTGTTCATGAGGAAGCCGAGGGCGACGCCGTCGCGGAAGGTCATGGTGTAGGAGATGGCGATGAGGATGGTGCCCATGATCTTGGCGAAGCTGGCCATGACGAACACCAGCACCAGGAGCCCCGCGGTGACCGGGTCGCGCACCCGGGTCACGTTGGTGCGGAGGCCACTGATGGCGAAGAAGAGCGGGAGCAGCAGCCCCATCACGAAGTCCTCCAGCTTCTCGATCAGCACCACGCCGAGCTCCCCGCTGGGTATCACCAGCCCGTAGACGAAGGCGCCGAACACGGAGTGGATGCCGATGGCGTCGGTGCACACGCCGGAGATCATGACGCCGGTGAGTATGAGCGTGACCTGCACGTCGCTGATGGTCTCGCCCTCGGGGATGCGGCGGACGATCCACCACATGACCGGGCGCACGACGTAGAAGCACGCCAGCACGAACGCCACGCCGGAGAGGAGCACGTAGAGGGAGGAGAACGGGGTGCTGTTCACGTCGGAGATGGCGATGGCGAGCGCGAGCAGGATCCAGGCGCACATGTCGTTGACGATGGCCGCGGACATGGCGATCTTGCCGAGGTCCGAGTTGAGCAGCTTGATCTCGGCGAGGATCCGGGCGAGCACCGGGAAGGCCGTGACGGAGAGCGCGACGCCGAGGAAGAGCAGGAAGGAGGCCTGGTGCACGTTCTTGGACACCTGGTGCCGGAAGATGAAGGAGGTGGCGGTGCCGATGCAGAAGGGCAGCGCCATGCCGGCCACGGCGATGATGACGGCCTTCTTCCCGGAGCGCTTGATGACGTTGACGTCCATCTCGAGGCCGACCAGGAAGAGGAAGTAGAGAAGGCCCAGGTGCGCCACCGTCTCCAGGGTGAGCAGGCTCCGGCCCGGGAACACGGTGCCCGCCCACGTCCCGACCTGCCCCATCACCGACGGGCCCAGAATGACGCCGGCCTGCAGCACATACGTACGTCCGTTGAGCAAGCAAGCAAGCAGAATCCTGTTCTCAATTAATGGAGGCAGGGCACGTACGAGGATCTCAGCGATGACGCGGGGCTGGCGGAAGGGCTTGAGGAGGAGGACGAGGAGGCGGGTGGTGCCGACGATGACGGCCGTCTGGAGGATGAAGATGGGGAGGGAGAACTCCAGCGGGTTGACGCCCTCCCAGATGCCGTACGTGGTGACCTTCATGGGCGAGTAGCACACCACCGCCGCCGCCGCCGCGCCGGAGCCGGTCATCCCGGCGGCGGCGGCGGCCTGCTCCATCGGCGCCGTGACGTCGCCACCGCCGGGTAACGTGTCGGTCATCTCGGCGCATGGGACGACGCCGAGCTCTCGTGCGTGGGCGCCGCGCTCTGCTCCCTTGGGCGCGCGCGCGCGGGCCGCGGGTTCGCTGGATTTCGCGACAGAGAGGAGTGTGGCTGGTTCACGAACGGTGGAAACGGTCAAAGTGAAGAGAGAGAGAGAGGGAGCGTATGGGCGCGCGCGGCGGTGAGTGGGAGAGGAGCTGCTAATTTCGGCCGGAGCAATGCTACACACACGGACTGATTTTTAGGGAATCAACGGATTGGCACACATCCCACTGAAAATCAAGGGGGTGGGGGAAGATTAGTATGGAAAGAGGTAAATACATCAGGAGTCATAGAACTTGCACGTGACGGTCAGTTTGATGCATAAACTTGCAAAATACGTGTTTCTAGTCATCAAACTTGCGTGGACGTGCAAATACGGTCATATTTTCCATACACAGATGTATTCACTGCCTATATGGCATGCCAGCATGACCGGGGCCCATTGTCAATGACTGAAGCGTTGTGCATGTAATATTTTTTGTAGAAGCACCCTCAAGTTTTTTTTAAACTTCGTACAAAAGCCCTCCAACACAGGTAATGTTAAATAGTATCCCGCTGGGTCCTGCCCGTCAGTGTGCGTTGTGAATAATTTGGACTAGAAAATAGGTCTGAGGGAGTTCGAACCATCGACTAGCTGTAATAGCGCTAGAGTAGTAACCACACCACAGTTGTTGTTTACACGGACTACCAATGTGTAGATCCTTTAGGCTAAATAAAGGTACACATTTAGAATTATATTTTCTTTTGTCAACATTTTCAAATTTAAATTATTAAAATTCAAACATATTTTCCGCTGATTTGTCTGAAAGGAAATTACGGACATTCATTTTGCACTATATTTTGCTTTTTAGATTTTGTAACTTAAAATTATTAGAATTCAAGCAAATTTTTAGTTGACTTGTCTGGAAAATTTACGTACATTCATTCTGGCCTATATTTTTCAATCTAGTTTTCCAATTTAAAATTATTCAAATTCAAACAAAATTCTGTTGATATGTTCGAAAGAAATTTATGTACATTCATTATGGACTATATTATCTTTTGTTTGGGTTATTCAAATTCTTAAAAAGGTTGTTTTGTTAAAAAAAATGTACATTCATTCTGACCTATATTTTCTTTAATCAAGATTTTTAAATTTAAAGTTATTCAAATTCAAACAGAAATTTCTTTTGATTTGTCCAAAGGAAATTATTTACATTCATTCTAAAGTACACTTTACTTTATCTAGGTTTTTTAATTTAAAAGTATTTGATTTCAAACAAAAAATTAGTTGATTTGCCCGCAAACATACATTCATTCTGCACTATATTTTGTTTTATCTAGATTTTCTAAAAAAAATTTGAATTCTAAGCGCATCTGTAGCAAACCCCTCGTATCACACCGACCCATAAAATAATCGCCAGTTTACGATTTTGCGCCAAAAAGTTGTCTGAATAGACACGGTAAACACACTATAAAGGTCCGCATATAAGGGGTCTGCTACAGATACTCTAACGGAAATTGGTTGATTTGTCCGTAAAAAATACATGCATTCATTCCGAAAAATACTAAAATTCAAAAGAGAAATCTAGTCAATCTGTCCAAAAAATTTATCTAGGATATAAGTTGTTTTCTTACATAGAAAAAACGAAAGCAAAATACATAAGATAAATTGCATTTATCTTTTTATGTGTCATTGTGACCGGATGGTTTGAACCGGGGCTTCCACCTTTTCACGAATCCTTTTCTGGTTTTGATTTCTATTTTAATTAGGACGGTCCTCATATATAAAGCTAATTGTGCATGTTAGACGTCAAACGTCAGTTAGCCGATTGGCGGGCAATATGCATGCGAATTGCGGGTGTGGTCGAATCCCATCCATACTGATCCATCCTTTTTTTCCGTTTTACTTCAGAATTTTTTGTGTAAATAAATGAAATGCAAGGGTGCTTTCTGAAAGAAAAAAACACATGCGGATTACCCACCTCCTCAGCCACTGACAGCGGGCCCATGTAATGTTGGCACGCCGCGCTACGGTAGAAAGCACCGTATTTGCACGCCCAGGCAAGTTTGATGACTAGAAACATGTATTTTACAAGTTTATGCACCAAACTGATCGTCACGTGCAAGTTCTATGACTGCTCGTGTATTTACCTCGTATGGAAACAGCCGGTAAAACTCTGTAAAATGCCCGGCTCTTTAGAGAAGATAATACAAAGTACATGTGAAGTACAAGGGATTGAATATGTTCTATGATAAGCCTGACCCCGATTTATATAACATACCGGGGCCTGGGTCGCCTGATCGATGCAGACATATCCCTCCGTGGCTCCGATATCTATGGATTGTGCTCTAAGTCTTAAATCTTCATGTAATTTGCTATCGGTCACCCAAAGTGGCCCAGGAGCATGGGGGTCATAGCCCAAACCACCAGGTTGGGAACCGACATGGCGAGGAGCCCCTTGGCCGGGACACCGGCAAGCGGCAACCAACTACATATTTGACTCCAACCCTAGTTGACGACCATCAATCAATCATCAAGACACATCCTACGCAACCGCCAGAGGGATCTCCCTTCTTGTCGGGAGGCCTCTCCCTCCATAGCCTCATCATCACAACAACATCCACACAAGAGGAGGATAAGGAGGCACCGCCACTGTCACTAGGCACTGGCCCTAGGTCATGCGTGCCGGCCACCACCTATATCTTCCTCCTTTCTCATGTATTTTGTAAGACTGTACATGGTGATGACATCCATGAACCATTCCTTTTTGTGTAGTTATTCATCTATGTTTGAGGGATTGGTCCAGTTCTAGGTTTAAGTATAGTCTAGTATGCAATATTAAACTTTGTGGCACATGCCACCATCTAGTATTTACTCTTTTCCTGTTGTAAGTAAGGCTATGTTGGGAGACGTTTTTTCATACAATCTTGTGAGCACTTGCACATATACTAAGTAGATAGATGAGTTTAATGATCGTTTGATTTGTTGTGTATTATTGACATCTCATGTGTAACCACAACAAGAGGTTATATGTAGTGCACAGATGAGCGTGGGTAGCCATAGCGGATCATTTATTTATCTAAGGAGCAATGGTTAACCATAGAGGGCAATGCCTTGTTCTTGTCCTTGTGGTCTTTATCGCTTCTGACTGACACATCAGTACAATGTTAGGAATGGGACATTGAGTTATCTTTGCAGCAGCAGTTGGGAGGTAACGATGTTTGGTAGACCGCCTATTATATTATAGACCTCTACCACGTAATTGCCCCTCTAGTACTGGTGAGACCGAAGCCTAGACACCGTCTGTCATTCTATTCAATCCTGCATTTATAACACCATTTTTACTTTTGGTTATCGTCTACTTCACTTTATGTTCTAGTTTGTAGTTCAGTTAATTCCATTTATTATTGTCTTCCTAGCAACCGGTGGAATAGAGTATTTCCGTACTATGGTTTTGGTGCGAACGTACCTATGTAGCTGGTGGTTTCTTCCTTTAGGTCAAGTGGGTTCGACATATAAAGCCAAGTTTCAATACTTCTTGCGAATTGTGCTTCAACTAGAATTTGTGCCCTTGGAGGATATCATTCCTACAACACCATGTCGCTGCATCGTGTCCGATCATCCAACTCGCAGTCGTAGCGCACAAGTGTCAGATCTGTCTGGGTGTGTGCTACTATGGCCTTGTCCAACACTCGTTGGATCTCTGGTTTGGGGATGCTAGGTTTTGTGCTCCAAGATTTCGGGAGAAATCCCATCGCCAACTCCTGCTGGCGACAACAATGACGAGGCTCCCCAAGTGTCGTTTCCCTTATTGGAGGTCATGTGGTGGAGTAACGGTGCATCAAACCCATTGCCGAGTACCGGGAACCAACGCTTCTATGTTGGTTGACCATTTGCATACCCAGTAATGCTCCCCAAAGCCTCCTTGTCACCGTAGCTCGGAGCCTTTGACTTCGTCAACTCGTGGATGTGTGCGCCCTTCTTTCACACTCCATGCTAGGAAACTAACCCCCATTAGGTGGAGATGCTTCCGTTGGCGGCATTCTTTGAGGTCATGTAACTCCTCCACCGCTCATTCTTCCCACCTCATGTGGGCTATGACCATCATTCTAGCAAAGAATTGTGTATTCTTCTCGTGCGCTACCTACGAGCCAAAGGTGATGCAACTACTTTGTTGATGATAATTTGCAGTCCTACCTGTGGTTTCGGTGTTGCTTCAACTAGAGCCCTCTTTGTGTGTCCCTGCTTGGAGTTGGCCATGTGTTGTCTTTCGGCATCCTGTACGACCATCAGTGACCTCTCTCTTTTGTTAGTACCACTTTGTATGCAATTATAACATACACCGCAATGTGCTATGGATCATACTGATAGCATGTCAATATGTGTGCCACTTCCACAACAGCATGGCCCATTCGAGCACGTAAACCTGGGCCGAGTTCAATGCGAGTGCGCACCTACTATTACGACCAACTCTGGCGCTCTTGTGTTGCCAGAGCTACATATCGCTTACCGCAAGAGCGAGTTTCGTCTCACAATAGGTGAGCGGTAAGATGGGCCGGCCCAATTAACACATTCACAAGCGGTGTTCCGAAGGTTATGCACTAGTTCATGGGACCTTCCACCGGTTTTGGAAGGTTTCATACGATTCTTTTTGTTTTCTATGTTTCTATTCACTGTTTTCGCCATTTTATTTTTGGTTTTCCTTTTCCAATTCATTTTCTATTTGTTTCCTTTTTTTCATATACATGTCGACTTTTTGAATACATGTTGTACATTTTCCTTATACATGTCGAACATTTTTTGATACACGTTGAACATTTTTTAAATGCATGATGAACATCTTATTCACATACATGTTATGAATAATGTTTAACATTTTTCAAATACACGTTGAATATTTATCACACATTGAACATCTTTTGAATACATAGAAACAATTTTCAGATATACCTTGAGCATTTTTATAAATACAT